TGTAGCGGTTGGTGTGGTCCAGTATGCTTTAATTAGATTGTCAAACTATACTATTAAATAAATTAGGTTGTCAAACTATACTTTAAATGTTTGATTCGAGCTAGAATATTAAGTCCAGTATAAGTGTATATATTAGTATATGTATATCATTTGTGGTTTAACCGTATAAATTGATGCATTGGATTTTTGGTTGATTTGTATTTGAATAAAGCCTACATATTTTGAGAAATTGTGATATTCAGTTGGTTATATATGTCGAAACCCGTTTTTTTATAGTGTCTTATAGGTTTTTCTTCTGTCATTTTAGAGTATATGAAGGAATTAATCAATATTATGAGGGTTTTTAGTGTAGAAAAAATTTGTAAAATATGTATATAGATATAATTAAGTAATTAATTCTTTATGAAATATAAATAAAAAATAATATAGAGTAAAGAATTACTTAATATTTAGTGGGTTGGACTGACAAATTAATTAGGTGGATTCTAATGGTGCACGTCTCACTAAAATATTGGGCGAGATTTCTTGTAAACTCGAAGTTGGAAAGGGCTTTTATTTGGGCCCTCAATTTTAGTAACAGTCATGTCAATGAAAGAAGGTATGAAATATGAATACTTCAAACTAAAAATTAGTTGACTTCATGAATGCATGAGCTCAGGACCTCAGGTAGCATAACATTTTTTTTTTTTTTTGAGTAAACCTGGTAATACCTTTCCTGCGAACCGAAGAAGACTCCTTAGGTTTAACTAACCCTAATAGTAATAGGTTTGCCATCCGACAACAAAAGGAGATCGATAAATTTTCTTTTTGCTTTTATATATGTTGCATTGTTAACTTTATTTTGTGAGTTAGAAACCTAGCTATGTATAATATGGAAGAAAGGGTGACACTTGATTAACCTCAACCTCATCTTACAAATGCATATAGGATTCATTTGAATTTTATAATATTGTTACTTAATTATAGTTTTGAATACTAGATAGTAAAATGACATTCACTGATTTACTGAAGAGCGATACAGATGATAATCATACCGTAATACTGTTATAACTGCAGTGAGGATATGTAGTGTGAGTGAACTATATATATCCAGTATTCATAATATGGTATATAAAAACCATATTATTTTTTATGCCAAGACTTATTATATTTATGTCCCATATTATATATTAGAGGACTGCATAAAAAAGCAAACTATATATCTCGGGGTGTAAACAACATTGGGAAAGAAGCTTTGTGAACTTCAAGTGCCAGTTCCTCCAAGCTCAGCTGACATTCCAACCCTATCTGTAACAACAATTGATTAATTAATAACAGAATCGTAAAAAAGAATTTTTACATGACACATACATATGTTTACAAATTCATGATCATCAAGAAATATTTGCAATTATAGATCAGTACAATAAATAACCATTAAAATCATGCAATAAATATGGCAAAAGAAAAAAGAGCATGCTTTAAAAATATCCCATAATTCAGTTTAATCTAATAGGAAAAATCTCATACCAAATAATCTTTCTCTTCATAAACGTGAAATCAAATGACAGTATATGGTAACTGTTTTAGGATAAAAAAAAACTAATACAATCTAAGTATGTACCTACTAATGATAAGTTAACCTAAGAATAGAAAGACGATAAAAGAAAAGAAGTGTCACCTAAATTTTGGCGAGCTAGTAGTTTATGAATTTGATCCTGTTAACTTTACATAAAGTAATCTCGAACTGTCATAGTCATAAACCATTTCTTAAATTGTGCCAGCAATGTAACGGGAATGTTAAGACCATTATCTCCCAGATGATGACCATATATTTAGTCATGCATTATTCTAATAAGGGGATCGATTAAAACTGTGACACAGTTGCATCTTGCTCCCCTTGGCTCCGTCCTTCGGTAAAAAAGGATAGTTTACTTTGGTGCAATTGCTTTATCATTTAAAGGTACATCTATAGAATTGATACATATTTGCTTATTAGAATTTGAAAGGCATGTTCCAAGTTTGCACTAGTTTCTTAAATGAGGATGACTGTTTTCAATTAGTAAAAATGGTGATTGACTGTCTAATAAATAATCGATCTTTAGCTCATAAAATAAGAACCATGAAATATCGATATACCTTTTTCTTTCATCTTGAATAAAAGGTTTAATGATATATACCTTGATGACAAAGGAGTATAGAACAGTGGCCTCCATGCTACTGATGTTGAGATGAAGACCTCAATGAAAGTTTCTCAATACACTGACTATCTTCACAATTTGACCCGGTATTCTCCTCGCTATTACTTTGAGCATGACGTTGGATCCTGAGATCTTTGCTTCCACATCTGCAACAGAAGAGTTGCAGCATGCTCCTAGTTCCTTAAAATTCTCAATTCCAAAAGGGGTATGAACACTGATCACCCGATTGAGGAGTTTGCACTAGTGGTTTGGACTAGGACCAGGGCTAGGGCTTAAACTCTTCCTTTGTTTCTCGACTCCAAAGCTTGCAGAACTTGATGCAACTCCTGATAAATTCTATCACACCACACTATTATCGATGCTTGGTCCCTAAACAACGAAAGATTTAATCAAAACTACGCCAGAGATCAGAAAGAAAGAGAGAGAAGGATTTTTAATTTACCCTTTGATGTAGAAAAACGGGGTTAAAGAACGCAAAACCTGGGTGGTCATTCATCTGTCTTCTTCTGTTTCTCCCACAGCGATGTGAGACATGTTTTGGTTGACAAAAAGAAGCAAAAACCTAATTCTAATTTGTTTTCTTTTATTCTCTTACGTGTCTCAGCTCTCGATCTCTTACACAAACTTATCAAGTGTTGTGGATTATAGGGACGATGTAAAGAGAGATAAGCCCAAGGTAGCTACTTTCTTGATGATAATAAATGCTTTATGTTGTAGTCCGTGGAGGTATTCTACTCTCTTCCACTCTCTCTCTCTTGTAGAATTACGTCTCACGTTATTATCTTGGGTCAATACCTACCCGCGTGAGTTAAAAATAGCAACAAGTTTCCTCTCTTCAACTTTTATCTTTCCTATGTAGGCATATATAATCCACTCCTTCATCAGTTTCATCAGAAAGTTTAATTTCAGTGGGCGGATTCCACGTTATTATATGGTATCCGTACTGTAAAAAATATTTATAACGTATATTGTCTTCTTAATTCCAATGTGTTTAGATTGCCTTTGGAAATGAATTCCTTGAATACTTTTTTTGCAGTATATTCAAGTGTCTCAGTGATTTAACAGTACGACTCACCTGGAATATTTATTTATGTTTTCAGTATTACTTTCTTTAATTTGTTTATTGTCTAATAATGTGAAGACAAAAACAAGTTAATGTATTCTTTGTGTAAGATTTATTGGTAGTCATAAAAAGGAAGTGCGTGTATAAGATGCACATAATTTACGTGGGTTTTTGAGAAGTTCAATTACTGACATGGCTGGCCTGTGTCTGTGGTGTGTAATTGTGATGCATAGATAAGTTTATTGCCTTTTAAGCGATATAGAAATTTGAGAGATTGTCCACCATGTTTGGGGTAGCGGGAGGCTGCATAATCTCATTCAATTTTTGTCAAGCATGGATCTTGGACTGTTGGCATAAGCTAACTTTCAATTGGCCGATTGATGAAGACAGAATTATGGTTATACTGATGATCAGAGCCGTCAATTCAATACTTCTTGTAAGGGTTTTAGTACATAAGCTAACCTATCCATTATGAAGATGACGATTTGCACAGCTAGCTGTAGTGGACAAGTCAAGGCATACCCAAAGTTTTGCAAATAACATATAACCCCATCGATCGCAATATATATTTGAAGAAAACAGCTTCGAAAGCTAGCCTTCGGAATTAAAAATAACACACTACTCATTTCATTGCTACACATGTACAAGATATGAAGGCTCATAAATCACAGGCTTATATATATATATATGCGACAATATATAGATGACAAGTTTTCCATCTTAAATTAAACACATGCAGACGACAAGTCTCATTTATAACATACATTTATATAACATGTCGTCCTCTCTCTCTCTCTCTCTCTCTCTCTCTCTCTCTCTCTCTCTCTATATATATATATATATATATATATATATAGAGTTAATTCAGAGTGAACGTAGCAATATTGCCATGGTAATATAGGGATAGTATGTAAATGTTATGCCCATATATATATGACCATTGTATTGCCTGTAAAGCAAAGTCCAACCATGGGTAATTAAGGAGCATATTGGAGTATGCATTTAGCTGATAAAGCTGCTCATAATTTGAAAATTAATCAGTTTTCCTAAAAACATTCAATAAAACTGTAGACAACCAGTATTCTCCAGCAACTTGTGTGTGATTTAGTAGTTCCCAAGGCGATGAGTTATGTCATATTGGTACACATTAGACATGGCATTATGAACATGTGTGCTTCTTAATGTTACATTATGCTATTTTGAAGGAGGTGTGACGGACTCCACACAAATTATATTACGTTATGTTATTTTGCTGGTTAATTGGTTTCTATTATCGCCCGGTAGATTGGCATGGGCCTCCCTACTCAGAGTTGTCAAGACTGGAGTTTAATTAAAGATAAATTAACCGTGTAAATAAGCAAAGAAAATATTACTTTTATAATATTTTCTCACAAACTTTCTCCCTCGATCCCGACGTTACAACTCACAATTGATTAGTTTCGTAATGAATCACATCTGATAAATTACGACTAATCAATTGCAAACTGCTATGTCATGATTGTGAAAAAAAGTTTGTAAGAAGATATTGTATGTGTAACATTACTCAACACTGCTGGTTCATTGTTGTAATAAACAGTAAACACTATGTAATTGATTCCCTCTTTTCAAGCCTATATGTGAGTTAAAAGTTATGCCGCTCTGCCCTCTCCAGAAAGGAGGCTGGCTTGAAGAAGTAATAGCCACAGTTGTATAAAATAAGAGACATTGTGCTTGAACTACTATCACTGCAGCGAGTTATCAACATTTTCATCAAGCAGAACAATATTTAACTCTACATTTAAACGTAACAATTTGGCCTCTTCAACTCAATATGCGGATAATATTGCAGCTGAGAAGCAAAAACTTGAGTATATATTAACTTGTAACAATCAATTTGATGCACCTTGAAGGTTTTGTTCAAACTGCTGCAGTTGTGACATAAAACCATAGTTTGGATCTGCCTGTTGTCGTCTGCTCTTCACATGTTCTAGAGCTTGAGATAGCCTCATACCATGCTTTTTCATCAGATAAGCAACCACAATAGTCACACTGCAACAAAGAGAAGAGAATATAAAATTCAATGATGTTAACAGCGAGATATGATTTCTTTTAAACATGCTCTGGAAGTTTCAGTATACTGAAAATTTATATAAAGATTACCATTTTTTTTTAAGAATCAGTTAGAATTTAACCCTCCTGTACAAAAGTGATCCCCCGAAATCTCTGGCTGTTTGTCATACTTTCTGAAAAATGTTATTACAAAAAAGTATTTTAAGTTGAGTTGAATCAATTCAAATTGGATTTGAATCTGAAAATGTATTTGGTAAAATATTTGAAAATGTGTTTGATAAAGTATCTAAAAATTATATCAGAATTGCATAAAATGTTAAATAGTTGTTTAATACATTTTTTTAAAAAAGATTTTAAGACAAAATAGTTGCCTGGTACATTTTCTGAAAAATATTTTAGATTATTTTTTTAACTTACTACATTTGTTAATTTTGCTAAATATCCCCACAATAAAACTTTAAAAATTAACTAAAGCACTCCAGTCGCCCAAGAGGATAGTTGGTCGTTGGCCACCACTATTAGACAGCAGCCGACAGTTGCTAGAGAAGCACACAACTGGCTGGACCTAGCTGGTTGTGTGCCGAAATGGTCGTTTTCGGTCAGATCTATGACCATCATTAACAACTAGATCCACCATAGATTTGGTTGAAAATGACAATATCGACCGATGATGGCCGACGGTGGTGATCTTGGGTGGATTAATTTTTAGATTGGAAAGAGAGAAAAACGAGAAAGAGAGAAAGAAAATTGTTTTTAGTTGAATAGAGTTGGATAATCTGAAAACAAATCCCGCCCTCTTTTCATTTTTAGACAAAAAATATCTTATTTTCAGATTGGATTGGCCTAATAAGTAGACAAACACATCTTATTTTTTAATCTAAATATGATAATAGAATAATGATCCAGAATAATGTAACAAACATGATTTCTAATTTTTCTTCTTTTGTGTAGTTATAAAACTCATTCCTCTTAGCACAAATGCAAAGTCTTAGTAAGCTATGATATTGATAGAAAAGAAACAAACCAATTGTAATCATAAAACAGCACCTTCCAAGGGATTAGGTCCTGAAAGTGATCGTGTTGTGCAAAAAAGCAGGAAGGACTATATTAAGATGCCTCCTAAGATCTTGGTCCAATAAGAGCACCACTGGTATTGAACTTTTTGTACACAATTGTTTGGGCAACATATCTTTGAAGCTCACCTGAATTCTATTGATTCAAATGACTTCAGAAGTTAGATTTCCACACCTCTTTACTACATTTTCTATAATAATCCTGATATAGAACCTATCGAAATCAGTGGGCACAATTTCAAACCCTCAATACAGACAATTCACAGAATGTTTACATAATATGCTTTTTTGCTTTTAATTTTTAGAGGAGAAATGAGTCATCAACACTAGACAGTGAATATTTCAATGAAAATTTTTCAATAGCAGATGATCCCTAGTTAGACAGTAACATAGATAGCGAAAGAAATATTACCTTCTGGATATTCCCATAAGGCAATGAACCAGCACACCACCACCCAGTCTTTTTGCTTCATCAATAATATTGAAACACTCATCAAAGTACAGCATCAAGTTTGTGTCGTCTCGGTCCATCACTGCCTCAATTTACAATAAAGACCATTCAATCAAGATAAATTCCAATACTAACCAGTGTTAGTAAGATCTACATCAAAGTCACAGGTTCAAGACATTAGATGTCTCATAAGATGGGAAAAACAAAATTACTTCTAGGTAAAACCAAAAGTGAAGGACGTTTTATATCTGAAAATATAAGAGAACACTTGAAATTCCCACAAGGTCGCTATATGCTGCGTGGATTCAATCATAAAGATATGATGAAATTGAAATTTTCACACCCGTGACAGAGAAACTGCCATACCTTCTATAGTTTTATATACAAACTCATCTGGAAATGGTGGTTCCCCTAAATCAGCCACAGTTAATATGTGTGTAACATTAGAGCTTTTCAGTGCATCCTTGTTATTTGCATCTACAAAAGAACCCAAGAACAGACCCTGACATATTGAAGGGAATCATAGCAAATAGCCTCAGATACAGAAACCCGGCAAAGAAACAGAATACTTAACAGAAAACAAAGAAATAAATAAATTTAAGCACCAATAAATAAGCAAAATCATAATTATATTACCTCCTCAATTTGGCACATAACATTCTTTTCTTCAAGGTATCTTGGTGCATTTTCTTGCCGCATTGCTGCTATCAGATCCCTAATCCAAGTTAATCCATAGCCAATAAGAAAAGTCATCTGGTTCTCTTCTTTCTGATTTTGAAATCAGAATCTCAGAAATATAATCCTAAATAACAAAGCATAATTTATGAGGTTTAACATGGGTTTAATCAAAACCAACAAGATTCTCGACAGAAATCTAACAGAAACAACATTAACAATCCTAAGAAGATCAAAACTATACTAGTTACCCCAACTTGTCTGGGTAAATCAGATTATTCTCTGTTTAACACTATTCAACGTTGTTTCTTGGATTGCTTTCCGATATTTGGATAATTAATTGTAAAAAAAATAAATCCTCAAAACAGAAGTAGGGCAAGAATAAAAACGGAAAAAACAAAAAGAAAAACTCACCAGGAATCCAGTAATGTTGATCAGTTCTAGTATGAGCTGAATGGAATCAATTATTATGCAGATCTTAACGGCTTTAAATTTGGGCTACAATTCTTATTGTTTCTTTACGTTATGACTTATGAGTAAGACCAATGCTACACCAATAACACCCTTTCACAACTTTTCCTGGCACAATTTTTTCTCACAATTGGTGACATATCAATTTTCTATTTATCAATTACAATCATTTTACTTTATAACTTTATAAAATTGCAGTTGATAAATAGTAAACTGACATATGACAGACTGTAAGAAACTGTTGTTAATCCAGCATTTTTGTATGAGTAAATACAGGCAACAAACACTTCTCCACTAATTTTTCTCACAAACGATCATGTAGCTCGCAAGTGATTAAGATGTGATCTATTGTTAGACAGGTGAAACTAGGGATGGTGAAAATCCGGTTAACCGAACTGGTTTTTGGTTCAGAGGATAATTTGAATCGAAACTGAACCGAATTATCTTTTGAACAGATAATTCGATTCGGTTATTGGTTAACCGGTTTATAAACAGATTTTAATAAATTTTGAAATTACCCTTTTAGAATAGCAAGACATCAAATGGGTGCCTCAAAGCCGTCGATTTCAAATACCCCAAATCAGAATCCAGCGCTTACACAAACCAACACCTGAAGAGACGCACAGAATCAGTCTCACTTAGTCTCATTGAGACATCTCATAAACAAAAAAGCAGACGCAGAGCTTCCAAACATACCCTAAAGCTAAAAATCTACCAAACAATCGAAGAAGAAGAAGGCTGGAGTCTAATCATGGCGTTCTCTTCTTGCCTCTTATCCAAATCCAAACAGAAAAGCAGTGAACGAGAAGAAATGGAGAAGACGAAAAAGAAAATAAAAACAGAAAAGTGAAAGGAGAAGAAGACGGAAAAAAAAGAGAAATTGGTGAAGGAGAGGAAGAGTTGAAGAGAAGAAGACGAAAATGTGAAGAAAAACTGAAAAAGGAAGGAGAAAGCAGTGAAAGGAGAAGAAGAAAGAGAAAATAGCGAAAGGAGAAGAAGACGAAAGAAAAAAGTACTTGCGTAGAGATGCAAACCAAGAAAATGCGCAGAGAAGCCGACTGTAGTTTTGCGTACCTAATACCAAGAAAAAACGTGGGAAAAAATAAGAGATATTTTTATTTTTTTCAAAACCGGTTTAATATTATCTTTAAATTGTTAACCAAATCATTTTTAAAAACCGAAATCAAACTGGTTAATTTAAAAAACCGATTTTTTGATTCGGTTTCGATCCAGTTTTTCGGTTTGATTTTCAGTTTTTTTTTTGCAACCCTAAGTGAAACCTATACCAAATTAATCAATTACGAGTTCACACACATTTATAAAAGAAATTGCTATTCTTTACATTATTTTTTAAATCGTGAGTAGTAGTGAAAACGCTCAATAAATACATTCAGTCTCGTTATCCATGAACACTTGTTAACAGTCTCAAAAATGTGTCTTCGCTAAGCTTTGATGAGTTCGACACTGGAAATCACACATGTGAGGATCAGCGGCTCATATTAAAATTGTCATGTACGACATCTGATTATAAAATGTCCATGTTTGACACTTGGAAAAGAATTCACTTCTTTTTAAAAAAAAATGTCCAGAGATATGAAGTTGTGCTCTTTAATCAGCAAAAATCTAAGAGCAACAGAAAATTGAAAATAGACATACATGTCCATATTTTTGAAATATAAGGTACAGAAGACAGAGTTGTTCATTTCTAAAATGTCACAAATAAACATATGTGCAACTTGGGAAGATTTCAGATTTCTCCACCTCCTGGTCTTTGCATCAGAAGATGAGAATATGAATCTTGTCTTCACTATTACAAATGATAAATTTTCTTTGAAAGTAGAAATAGTTCACAAAAATAAATTTTGGCGATATAATAGTAGCATCATTTGACAATCCCAAGTCATATGCAATCAAATAAGTATAATTTACACTGATTGCTTAAGTTTTATAATGGAAGTTTTCTATTCTATTTTATTTGTACCAAGTACTTTCTTTTTCGGAGTTGGAGATTTCAGGACCATAAAACATTGATAATGCCTCTCTGATGCTTCATGTAGTATTAGTTCAAGCTGATGTTACCTTGAAGACATTTCTCAAACTCCTGCAGCTGTAAAATAAAACCAGCATTTGGTGCAGCCCGAGGCCGTCTGCTTTTAACATGTTCCAGAGCTTGGGATAGACTCATGCCATGCTTTTTCATGAGATAAGCTACAACTATAGTTACACTGCAATACAAAACAAATCAATTAGTTTGACTTCAACCCAGTTCAGAATATAAATTGTCCACATTCCAGTTTCATGGATCTACAAGGAAAGGAATATCACCTTCTGGATCTTCCCACAAAGCAATGAACCAACACACCACCACCCTTTCTTTTAGCTTCGTCAATAAAATCGATACACTCATCAAAGTATTGGGATAAATTTGTATCTTCTTTGTCACTAACTATCTCACAAAGAACACAGCAAAATTATTATGGATCCTAGAGATTGAAGCCAAATATAGCTGAAGATAAAGATAAGCATAAATAATTTGGCCCGAAACTATGTTAAGCATCAATAACTCATATATTATAATATTTCAAGACATAGCAACATTTACAAAATGGATAGAGAGGCAATCATAATACAGCAATGCAAGGAACAAACTATGGAGCATCAAAAGCAATATCTTTTTTTTTTCCCTCAAGAACTGCAATGAACAGTTGTTCATGGTTAAATGACGAGAAATTCTAGAACTTCAAGGAAATGTTCATTCAGAAGGGAAATAAAGTTTTACACCAGATTTAAAAAAAAAAAAAATACCATACCTCCAACAACTTTATACGCAAAATCACGTGGATGTGCAGGAGACAACGAATTAGCCACAGTTAAGATGTGTGTGATATTCCTGCTTTTCAGTGCATCTTTGTTACTAGCTGCTCCAATAGAACCCAAGAAGAGACCCTATGGAGTTAAAAAGAATCATATCTAACTAAACTCAGTTAATTTTTTTTTGGCTCAATCGAAACAAATTCCAGCAAGTTGTTAATCTTATGGAAACAACAAACATAAAAGGTTGAAAGATAAATCATCAGTTAATTACCGGTTCAATTTCACAAGGAATCTTGTCTTCTCTCAAGCATGTTGTTAAATTCAAAACTCTCAAAAGTTTTGCTATTTGTTTACGAAAGGGATCATCAATCTGATCCATCACCGTTAAAAAAAACTCTTCAACTCCTATTTCCTTTAACTGTTTAAGATGGGTAGAACCTGCAATAAATTGAGTTTATCTACATTATAACAAGCTCAAAACACAGAGGAACACCAGATAGCACAGGAATTTAGATTTAGATTTAGATTTAGATTTCAAGAATAATGCATGAGATTGAACACGGAGGGTGAACATCCTGAAAAAAGCAAATGTATTCTCATAAATTGGTAAAGTTATACAGCTCAAAATTTTTCATCAACACCAAAATGAATTATTCTAAATAACATTCATAGTTTGATCAGATTATAAACAAAACTACCATTTCCAACTAAATTAATTTTCAAGAATCCAAGATTTCAGCCATATAAAAATAAATAACTCAGGCTAACCTACATTAAAGTCTTGGCACATTGGTAAACAAACAAACAAAGAAAATCAAACTATATCCTCTACCCTTAACCAGCATTTGTACATAAATCCATAGAAAAGGGGTCTCGTTTTTCTGCAATGCTCAATAACCCCACTCGACTTTCACATTAAAACAATAAAAGATAACTTAAAGAACTTTTCACCATTAAAACAATAATCAAAACATGGGCTATTTCAATAAAGCAAAATTGTCGAATGCAATCTAACAATATCAGCATTAACAGACCATAACTTTCTTCTTTATTTAATATATAAATAGATCGAGGGAAGAAAACTTAATCAAGCACGTCTGTAACAAGTGGTATCAGAGCCCAGGCATGGACCACCGAATTCAGAAACTTGAGCAATCGGTGAAAACTTTAGGAGCGGATCAACAAAAGCTTATGAAAACAATAATAAAAACATGGGTTATTTCAATAAAGCAAAATTGTCGAATGCAATCTAAAAATATCAGCATTAACAGACCATAACCTGATCAAATTTGCAATACAAACCAGCGAGTTGGATTTCAAAGAATTCCAGAAAAAGGAAAAAAGAGATTAAACATTAATATATGTTTTCACAACGATGAGATGAATAATTATAAAAATAAATAAAATAGAATAGAATGTAGACTAACCAGGAAGCTCTGAATTCCGGGAAAGAGTGGAAAATTTTTGATTTAACGATAAACGGTTGTTGTTATATACAGTTATGCGCCGAAAGTTGTGTTGCGTGAATTGGTGATTGGTCCTTTCCGGGAATATCATATTATGCGGTCTAAAAGTCTCTGCAGGCCATAACACCCGGCGAATGTGATCAACTATTTGGGCCCAATTTTCGGCCCATGTTTTATAAATACTGGGCTTTAGGGTGCTGTTTTTTGAACTCCAATAGTCCAATTAAATTTCTATATAATTTTGATAATATTTGTAAGGCCGAACACATACCCAAAGTTTACTGTAATGACAGAGTGGTACCTAAAAGACAGGAAAATGCCAGATCTATGGCTAGATCTAGCGGTTGAGACTACAAAACTTCATCTTTGGCCGTCAGCGATAGCCAAAGATGTGGTTGTCATTGATTGTCAACGATGGCCAAGATTTGGCAGTCATTAACGGCCAAAGATGGAGTTTTACGGCCTCGATGGCTAGATCGATGCGTTACGACACAGATTTGACAGGTCTATGTTGTAACGCAATTTTTCGGCCAGATTCCGTTGGTGGTGGCCGGAATCTGGCACTACCAGTGATATGGGTGTTTTTGTTATTTTATAAAATTTTTATATATTGGGGTGTTTAATTAAATTAGTAAACTTATGAGGTTTTTTAGAAAATTTTAAATTTATAAAAAACTAAAATATCAAACTTTCAAGGACATTCTAGTCTTTTCATTATTAGAAGGTACCTGTTTATCGTTTTCAAACCTTTTGAATACCAATCATTATTATAGTAAACCTTGGGTATGTGTAAGTCGTTCGGCATATTTGTAATTTAAAATTTAAAAAGATAAGACTCCCCACTCCCCCGTCAGCCAGTCTCTTATTTTATATTGAGTAAATGACATGTTCCCACCCAAGGTTTGACGAAATCCCAAGTTAGTACCACTGGTTTCATTTATTCCAGATTCTCACCTTTAAAGTGATGGAAAAACGTTTGATGTAACGGTAGAGGGGTAAATTGGTCATTTTACATGGGTGACGCACGTTAGCAGACCACCACGTCTAACAGTCCTCCGGCGCACGTTAGCAGCCGTCGTTCCCGACGTTTTTTGCTCTTTTCCGGCGATTCTTCCACCCAAAATCACCCTAGTCACCACCATTTGAACCCCCATCCTCCCCTCTACAAAACCATACCATTCACAACCCCTCGTCACTCGCTGATCTCCGGCCACGGCAACGAAAAACGGTCGATGAACACGAACTCTCGGCCGGCGAATGACGACGAAACGGTTGCTGGGGACATAGGGGTTTTATAGATTTGGGGACGGTGGTTGCATTGGTGGTGTCCAATTGGATTTTCACCNATAGTTTAAACTACTTAATCAATGTAAAGCATCTCTAATTGCATTATATAATTACCAGAATGAATAATAAAACATAAAATTGTTGCACATGTAACACCGACTACAATAGATTGATAAGGTTCAAAAGTTTGACCTTTCAAACCCAACTCATCTGGTCTGCCCATGATAATCACCCTCTGTGTTTGTACACATGATTTTCATAATATAAATATGGAACAATTACATCGTGTGCTTTTTCGAAGAATCATCGCATCCCGGATGTAGTTTAAACCTTAAATGAATAATCTTCATAGCTTGCATACATCAATTAATGTATGCTCAGAATCAATAAATTAATCAAAGTTTGTAATAATGCAACATCGACTGCATTCATTGGAGAGATACAATAAAAAAAATACAAACGTCCCTCAATTTGTTGAGACTTGAGACTCAAACCTATCCTCACTGGTTATAAAAAAAGGAAATGTTCTATTCCAACTGCATGTCTCCACCTTAACAACATGGCTTCTTCCCTCAATCTGATCTTCCTCTTCTCTATTGCCTTTGTCTTCATTAATTTGTCCTCCATTAATGCATCAGTAAAAGGTACCCCCAGCGCCTTCAATTTTCATATCAAAAAAGATAATGCTACTCTCCAGTAGTACACCACAATTGCCATGGGAACGCCTCTTGAGTATATTGAAGTGGTGGTTGATCTTGGAGGTCCGTTACAATGGTTCGACTGCTTTAGTGGTTACAACTCCTCTACTTATCGCCCCATATACTGTGGCTCTTCAACATGCGATGTTGCGAATGCTTTTGGTTGTAATATTTGTGGTGGTGACGGATTTGGATGTATCAACGGCACATGTGGCCCTTATCTTTCAAATCCATTTGATCAACACATTTTGGCGGGTGGAATTCTAAGCGAAGATACCACATCACTATCTTTAACCGATGGTTTAAGATACTTGAATGATGTACTTATGCGCCGCCTTCTTTTCGTTTGTGCAAATAAAAACCACTTATTTGGCCTTGGTAATGGTACCCCAGGAGTTTTAGGCCTTTCAAGATCTCAAGCTGCTTTGCCAACACAGCTCTCTTCGGCATTCAACAAATCTCGTCAGGTTGCTCTTTGTATACGACGTCGTTTTATGCTCAGTTTCCTTTTACTCAAAGCGACGTCAGTCTCTTTTCTGCGCCCGCTTCCTCTCTCCTGTTTTTTGGCGCCTCTTCTTTCTTTTGGCGCCCTCTTCCTCTCTTTTTCTTTTTTTTTTTTTGCCACCTTCCTCCCTTCTTCTCTTTTTTGGCGTCTTTACCTTTCTTCGTCTTCAACTATTCTTCAACAAACACCACTCTTCATCTTACCTTCTCCTTCTTCAACTTAATAACAAATAAATTTGTTTGTTTTATTTAATAATTGATTCGTTTCTATAATATTTGTAATAATTGATTACAAATCAAATAATATATTTTTTTATAAACTAAAATATTATAATTAAAAAAGATATAAATCATACACCTATAAAAAAAAATAAAAAATGATTAATTCAATGATGATAAAAAGTACTAAAATTAGGATTAATATTATCTTATTTTTTAAAACGTATTATTGATAATATATCATATTAAATCCATATATATTCGTACCGTATTTTTTCCTTATCTGAATTTTAAAACTGAATTTTAATAAACATATTTTTTACTATTTACCATATCATTCTTGTAAAATTTCCGTATCATTTTTTTATTATACCCATATTTACTAACTATACCTCTGAGCACATGATAGAAGTAATGGGTTGACTAGGTGTTTCAACGAGAAAGTCACTGCTAATTGTTGCAGTAACACAATAAGCAATATTTCTTTATCAAATAGACTTGACAAGAAGCAACAATAAAGTTACCGAATGTTTGATAAAAATGTTATATTGATTAAAATGACAGCCAATTATCACGTTGCAACTTCACCATGACTTGAATATATTAACCTTTGTTTTCTTTTAGCATCTCAGCATTATTTTCAAAAAGACAAAAAAATGTTGAAGTGGAATGATACATCACATTTGATTCAACGCTGATTGTTGCTTACCACAATTAACAATATTTGTTTAAGAAACAAGTTGAAGTATATATTCAATTTTTAATTGCACACTCCATATGAATGCACAATATAAATAACAACAACGTTACACTTAATTAAACAGCTTTTTGAAATAATATATATATAGCCTCACTATATATACATATATATATAGAATAGTCAAAGTTTGGCGACTAGATCAGATCCAAGGGTCAAGTTAGTTGACTATAGGAGAGATCCAACGGTCAATGTCTATGGATTAGATCTCTTAGCAATATCATCATCGCTTATAAAAAGAGCTGATTTCATCTCAGCTCCACTCACTCCCTCTTTCACTTGTCCTATACATCAATGGCTTCTTTCTTCAATCTCTTTCTCTTATCTTTTGCCTTTGCCTTGCCTTCATTATACGCTCCATTGATTCAGCAGAAGATAAACCTCGCGCTTTTATACTCCCAATTAGGAAAGATAATGTCACACTTCAGTACTACACTACAGTCGACATAGGAACACCTCTAACCTATCCGGATCTGGTCATTGATCTTGGAGGTCAGATCCTATGGTTCAACTGCGAGAATGGCTTCAATTCATAAACGTATCGTCCAGTGCGTTGTGGCTCCTCCAAATGTAAAGTCGCAAAGGGAAGTGGTTGCGTGGGTTGCAATGGAACCCCCAGGCCAGGATGTACCAACAACACTTTGTGGAGTCTCTCCATATAATCCATTCAGCAACTTGCTTTACGCGGGCGGGCTAGGCGAAGATACTATGGCAATATATGAAACCGATGGCAGGTTTTACTTGTCTCATATATATGTCCCACGCTTACTTTTCGCTTGTGGATTTAACGACCAGTTACAGGGCCTTTCAAATGGTACCCAAGGAATGATTGGCCTTGCAAGAACTCAAGTTGCTCTTCAAATGCAGCTCTCTTCGGCTTATAAGATTCAGAATAAGTTTGCTCTTTGTCTTCCCTCTTCAAGTGAGGACGGACTTGGTGACATTTTCATTGGTGGTGGTCCTTACTACATGCCTCCTTACAACAAAGATGCGTCCAAGTTGCTTATCAAAACCCCGCTCATAATCAATCCCGTGAGCACGGCCCCAGTTTACTCGGAAGGTGAACATTCGGATGAGTATTTTATCAATGTAAAAGCCATCAAGATAAATGGCAAGGTTCTTTCTTTGAACACGTCCTTGCTATCCATTGATAAAAAGGGAGCGGGAGGGACAAAAATAAGCACGATTACTCCTTACACGACTTTACACTCGGCGATCTATAAGGCTTTGGTAAAAGAATTCGTCAAGAAGGCTGCATCTAAGGGGGTGACTAGGGTGGGGCCAGTAGCACCATTTGGTGAATGTTTCAGCGCTAAGAATATCCGTAGCGCCGTGACTGGACTGACTGTGCCGACTATAGTGCTGGTGCTAGAAGGAAACCGTAAATATTGGAATATTTATGGTGGCAATTCAATGGTGAGGGTGAAGAAAAACGTTTTATGCCTAGGGTTCATAGATGGAGGTTCAAACCCAAGAACTTCAATAGTATTAGGAGGGCATCAGTTGGAGGATAATCTGTTGGAGTTTGATCTTGCATCTTCAACGTTTGGGGTCAGCTCTTCGCTCCTGCTCCAGAAAACAAACTGCTCCCATT